GCTGGCATTTATATTTAGTATTCTTCTCATTGCATGAATACATGCATTGTGTATTTCTTACAAACTATGATAAAGATACATTGGCATCACTTCTGCAAGTTATGTGAGGCTGTTATCTTATTTGTTCTATACTTATGCAGAATCCAAAGTTTAAGTTTTATGATCCTAAGACACCCATTTACACGTCTCCTCGATTCTTACCACCAACAAAGATCGATAATTGTCAGGTATGACATTGTACCTTAAAGCATGTTACTAAGCTCATTGGATGTCTTCTTATGTTTCGTTTTGTCTTGCAGATAGTGGATGCAATAATCTCCCACGGATGTTTCTTGAGAGAATGTACAGTCAAACATTCCGTTGTTGGTGAACGTTCACGTCTGGATTATGGCGTTGAGCTTCTGGTAAACTGCCATAACTTTTTGACTCTGCACAGTACAATCCGATGTAAGATTCATCCCATCTAAAATCACCTTTTACAGGACACTGTGATGATGGGAGCTGATTATTACCAGACGGAATCTGAAATTGCTTCTCTGCTGGCAGAGGGAGAAGTCCCTATTGGGATAGGAAGGAATACCAAAATTAGGTAATCTGACCTATTATTATTTCATCATACTATTGACGTTTGACATTGTTAGGGAATTAACATTGATCAAAATTCATGCAATCATTTCTCAAACTAGTAATACTTTATATTCACATCTAATTGCTACTTGTTACTTTTGTTGAAGGAACTGTATAATTGACAAGAATGCAAAGATTGGAAAAGATGTTGTTATCATGAACACAGATGTAAGCAAAGTCAACTGATCTCATCCTCCTTTTACTTTTGATTCAGTTTCATCGGCTAGATTTCCAGCTCTGTATTATTGAGGAGCACCTAGTATGATCTTTACCAATTCAAATGCTTTTTGTCTGTAGGGAGTTCAAGAAGCAGATAGACCAGAAGATGGATTTTATATTCGCTCAGGAATCACAATCATAGTTGAGAAAGCACGAATAGAAGATGGCAAGGTCATATAAATAGTCTCTCACTCTCTTGTATTAGTCTCAACGACTGGTTGCAAGAGTTGCAGGGGACAAAAACACATTCTCATATGAGAAACACTCTAATAGGTGGAGTAGGAAGAATCGCATTTGCAGAGTCCTACCTTCTACATTGAAGCCAGCAGAACACTTTTTCGCTATATGTAAAATAGAAGATTCCACAGGGCGAGTAGATATAGAATCAATAAGCCAAGGAGATTATAGCTCGTGGCAACAGTATTTGTTTTAAGAAAAACTCTTGAAGTTATGGGTGGTTCAACCTCTGTCTCTCACCCTGTCCCTAAACCCCTTGCTCAAGTCATGGGTTATGTTGTGAAACGAAAGGAAGATTTAACAAAACCTGATATGAATAAGGAATGCTATATCTGTCAGGCTGCTTTCTCAGTTTATTGCTGACAGTGGTAACAAGGCCATTTTTGCGTAGATGTTTAATCGACCAAGGATAAGTGATTGATGCACTGTACTCTTCACGGGAACGGTGCCCTGATGGGAGGATGTTGCCTCTTTCGGAAGTTTAATTTTTCCTCTCATTCTGACTTCCATTAGATAACTTGTTTTGGTGATTAAAATAACCAAAATATTTATTAATAATACTTCAGGGTTGATATACACTATTATACTAATCTCCTATTTGGTGAAGTTTGTATTAATGAAGGTGTGATAATATAGGATTTACTCTATACAAGATACTCCTCCGGTTTTAAATATTAGACTTTTTTTGTAGTGTAACATTACAAAAAAGATCTTATATTTAGGACCGGAAGGGTAAAAACAACTAATCAAATCATGTAAGTAAATACTACCTCCGATCCTAATTATAAGACCTAGTTGACTTATTTGAGGATATTAAGGAAGTAAGTTAAGTTAGTTATTTGTAATAAATAAGTGTTGTCATTCCTAAAATATCCTTGCTAATTAAGTATATTGACTAGAACTATCATTATTAGAAGGATTATCTTGGAAAAAAATGCATAAATATGAGAGACAAAATGGATTGGGGTCTTATAATTAGGATCAAACACAAAAAGTCAAACAGGGTCTTATAATAAGGACCAGAGGTAATATATTAGTTAAAATTAATTAAAAATAATAAATATGTAGGAGGTGTGATTTTTTTCCCTAAACATATTATCAAGACTGTTGCTGTGAGATTGGAAGAAGTATCTTTTGAAATAGTTAATATTAAGAGCATCTCTTTAATATTCGCTTGTAATATGAGAGTCTGTACACCGTATGGTTCATAAATAGATTGGGTTATTTATAAATTAAGAAAATATTGATTGGTATGAATTTTATTATATATATATTTTTTTAGCTGAAGAATTTTATTATATATATTGATATAACAATTCCATTTTAATATTTTGTAATAACAGTTAACCTTCAGTTAAGACGGATGTAGCCAAGTTCTTGAAGAAATCAAGAACTGCGCATATGAAAAGCACCGCGAATTTTTATAACAAACGGCATAATACCTGTTTGAACTCAGAACGGTCAGTCAATATTTACAAATGAGAGACCAAACAAAATAAAAAATGAAAAAGGGAAACAATTTACCGAGAAATTGGCATTTTTGTAGATCTGCACATTTTCACTTTTTCGGTTCTTCCATCAGTTCTCTTCGTTCCCGAGCTTCAACGCTCTTCGCAGTTGCAGGTCAACTCCTATTCTTTACTATTGTCCTATTTCCTTCCTGATTCTGTATCTATGTTCTCTTCCAATTCAATCATTCTGTTGCTTTCGGACGAAAGTTAGGGTTCCTAAGATGGAAACTTGAATGGGGAAATAAATTTTCGCAGACCTTGTTTTCAAATAATATATTAAGCTCTTTCGGCAATTACAGCTGATTAGTTTCGCCTTCTCGCTATCGGATATGTTAAATTTCGTTGGTGTGGGTCAATACAACACAAGGCCTTTCTTATATCACCCGAAAAAGGGGCTTTCTTTGATTTGTCATTCTTGAACTTTACAATTCTCGAGGGCTTGTTTGTTTGTTATTAAGTATGGGCTCTAATGCACATTAACAAGTTAAATGATTTGTCAGACGTGATTCATGTTTGTCGTTCTATAAATGGTTTGTTCTAAACACGAATCCTTTATCAGCCAGTTGTGAATTGAATGGAGGGAACTGGAGGCGGCAGTGCCGCGGCTGCTGCACCAGTGAACCAATGGTGGCAAGACTTGTCCAGGATCTTTCAACATTATCTGGATATATCCACACCTCATACTACCTATAGATGGATTGGAACTCTGGTTTTGGCATCAATCTATGCTTTAAGGGTATTTTATGTCCAAGGGTTTTACATTGTATCTTATGGTCTGGGAATCTACCTGCTGAATCTGTTGATTGGGTTTCTCTCCCCTTTGGTTGATCCAGAACTGGAAACCTCTGATGGACCTATGCTGCCAACAAAAGGTTCTGACGAGTTCAAGCCATTCATTCGCCGGCTTCCAGAATTTAAGTTCTGGTAATTTGGGCATTTTATTTTCAATTTTAGCCTGTTAGATAACATATTGCATTACTATCATGATTGCTGAGAGATTCATTTTAACCTTTCTGGCTGACAATCAGTGGCCCTCTTTTAGAGAGCCTTAATGAAACTATTTAGGGTTTATAATTTTTAGTTACTGCTTCAGTGCCTGTCTTCTTGGTAATTGGTCTTCTAAATATGTGAGGTTTGACATGTTATGACTGTGAATGTCGAGAATTTGAAGGGGGAAAACGCAATTTCTCAATGGGGATTGGACCTAATGATATAATACATATAGGAAGAATGTTGGGGCATATTACCAAGGCCTTTTCATGTGTATCCTTTCTATTTGGTCAGATAGATAATGTGATTGTGGGGACTGACTTGCCAGATTGCTTGCCTATTTTCTTATGGAAAATAGTTTGGTGGAGATGCTGTTGATGGATGACAATTTTTTGTTTTGGTTACAGGTATTCTATCACAAAGGCATTCTGCACAGCATTTGTCATGACCTTCTTTTCTATTTTTGATGTTCCTGTCTTTTGGCCTATATTACTCTTTTACTGGATTGTTCTCTTTGCCCTCACAATGAGGCGCCAAATTGCCCACATGATCAAGTATAAATATATCCCGTTCAACTTTGGCAAGCAGGTTGAGTTTCGAATCCTTAAAATTCTTTTGCAGCTTTGTCCTTGTTCTGATGTCCTGTATCAGTTTAACATAAAGTCTAGGACGGGCAAGCTTTTATTCCTTATATCATGTTCTCGAGATAAAGCCCCCTTTCTTTTAAACTTTTGCAGAAATATGGTGGTAAGAAATCCTCTGCAAGTAGCAGTGGCGCACGCCCAGAATGAAAGCTTTGCCGTGTCATGATTTGAAACAATACAAACTTTCTGAATAGGTGAAAAGAAATGTAGGTTGGTAGTTGAACTTTCACCCTTCAATTGAACTAATATGTAGCCAGATAGGGATGTGCAAAACCCTGGTAATCTGATCCAATCCAAATAAGTCATGTGATGAAATCAGATCAGACCAAACTAGACTAGTTGGTTGGATACTTGGATTGGATTGATTTCTAGACCAATTGATCAGACCCCTTGGTTTGATTTGGTTTGGTCCGAGTGATTATTTTTTAAATATTTTGTATTTTTGAATGTTGTTTTTTTTTTATTGTTGTTTAATATTGTTCGAGATTCTTATGAATTTATGATCAAGTTTTAATGTATTAGGATGAGTTTTATATGATTATGGCTATTTTTTATTCTCTTAACTTTGTTTAACCGTCTTCCCATCAAGAGGGGAAAACAATAAAAGAAGAAGAAGAAGAAGAAGAAGGCAAATTACGGTCTTAGACTAGTCTTTCTTGCTGGATCAAACCGGACAACGGGCTTCTCAACCCAATCCATCCAAAAATGACAAACCAAACTTTGGGGGGCTTTGGTCCAAGCCGTCCGTTATCCCCTTCTAAATAAGAATATCATGGATGTCAATGTCCGGAAGAAAATTCTGTGGTCTGCATTTGATTTTGTGATGCCGGAAGAGTAAGCCTGTGTTGGCGGTCTCAAATCAAATTTTAGCCTATGATTTTTTTAATAATAAAAATTCACATTGATGAAATTTCAAAATTTAGTTGGACCATTATTAATAATGAAACACATGGCAAGATTTGATTGAGCAAATGGACCTAAATATTAAAATCCTTTGATTTGGGTAATGCGAAAATTTTCAAAAACAAAAAAGAGCATAATAATAAAACTTGGAAAAAAAAGTCAGGATTCACATTTGAAATAATTAGCTCAGGATGGATAATAAAATTTACCTGGATTTACATCTAATCCGAATCCATAAATTTTTATCAACCCAGATAATAAATTTAGTCAAAATGCAAATCCAAATCCAAATCCAAATGTAAATCTAACTTCCATACAGGGTTAATTTTTTTAGAATAATCTAAGGTCAATGTTTCACGGCTCAGTTTTTAATTTTGTGTTTATGTAACTTATTCCCCTATCATAACTTTCCAATTATCCTAATTTTTTTCGTAACTAAGTCACTCATCATCATAACTTCCCGATTATTTTAATATGATTTAACTATTAACTTTAAAATTCGCATATACAAAATCTTTTGTTTGGGTAATACATAAAATGTTTATATAAATATATATAGAGAGAGAGAGAGAGCATTAAGATTTGAGAAAAGGGTCAGTGTTGACATTTGAAATTAGCCAAATACAAACACCGAGTCAATGTCTTTAGAATAATCTAACGTCAATGAATCGGGCCTCAGTTTTTAACTTTTAACTTTTTTTATTTTCAATCTTATAGAAAAGATAGTAAATTATATCGCGTTTGGCTGCAGTCGTAGGGCTTAATTTTTATTTAGTGATATTGAGTTGGGCCAAACAAGAAATAACTTAGTGATATTGAGAATTCTGATATATTTACATATCTTCGTTCACAAAATAATATTTATTATTTAGTGATTTTTAAATTTTATGATATCGTATTTTCATATTTGTATGATATTCTTTCTTATCTACCACATCCATCTAAATATTTTGATTTCGGTAGCTTGTCAAAATAATTAGAAATTTATTTTGTAATTCCAATTATTTTAAAATTGAAAACATGATAAAATTTAATAAAAGTTTGGTTTTTAAACAAATTGATTTTCTTGTAAAAAACTGAAACCAACATACCCAGAGAATTAAAATTAATACACACACATACTAGTGTGTGTTTGTGTAATATGACTGTAGTGCATGGCTGCATGAAATTGAGTCGAGCAATAGAAAATATCAAAAATGACCCTTCTTTCATTTTTTATTTCATAAACACCTCTACAGTGATGTGAATTCGATGACAAAAATTAATTACTAATTTTAAAAGTCCCAGTAAGAGTGTTTAATTTTATTTTGTGAACTACATGAATTTGATAGTTTAATCTTTAGATGATTAATTTATATGTGCCGTGCATGTGTGTGTATAAGAAAAAAATAGACGAAGCCAATGATAAATATTAGTATTATGAAAGACATGAACAATTCTATAACAGAATGAAATCAGTATTAAAAAAAATGGAAATAAATCCAAAAGATCTAAATGATTTCATAAGAAGGGTTTTAGATCTAATATTCGATCCATCAAACTTTTATATAACACATTTTTCAAAAACATTTATTTTAATTTTAATTTTTCTTCATCTCTTTAACTCCATCAATAAAAAAACTTATGTATATTATAAAAATTAACCCCATTCATGTTTTTTTTTTAAAAAATTAACCCCATCAATACCGAACTTACACACGATAAAAATTACCTAGATTAACTGCTTGACTAGTTCCAGAATATCTTGGAGATTTTGTAGAGACTCATTATCTGATAATTTTATGATTACATTTTTTTAATACAACGGTATATCCATATCTCGATCCTAATCCTAATCTCTATATATTTTTTCGATAAGACTCCTCGTCTCTATATAAACCGTGCAGAGAAGAGTGAAAAAACCACAAGTAACTCAAGTGACTGAGAGAGATAAGAGAGATGGCTTTCTTTATTAAAGCTTCATTTTCGATTCTCTTGCTTGTTCTTTTTCTTTTGCTTTCCACGTTATTGCTGATGATAATCCAACCCCTTCCTTAGTTGTCAATGCTCAATTTGGAAGGAAAATTCCAGAAACATTCTTTGGAATATTTTTCGAGGTGAATATGCGTTCCTGTGCATGGATTTCTATACAGATTTTGAATTGTAAAATAGCTGATTATTTGTTTCTTAGGAAATTAATCATGCCGGAGCTGGAGGATTGTGGGCTGAGCTTGTTGACAATGCAGGTAACTATTTCAATTTTGTGTTCCTTCAGAGTTTTTATATATTCCTTTTATTATTTATTAATCATGTATTTGTAATTCTTATCAAGGTTTTGAAGCTGGGGGTAGTCAAATTCCTTCAAATATATTCCCATGGTCAATTATTGGAGATGAGTCAACTATACGTGTGACAACAGAGCGTTCATCTCCTTTTCCTCGCAATAAAATTGCAGCACGATTGGATATCATGAAAAATTCGTTAGTGGGAGTTGGTCTCTCTAATCCTGGATTTTGGGGCATGGTGAGACTATAATTCTAATATTTCATTTGTATTACTATTTCTCATATATTACCACTATTTTGACCCTTTTTTTTTTTATATATTTAGAATGTTGAGAAGGGAAAGAAATATAAGGTAACTTTTTATGCGAGATCACCAAAACCAGTTGACTTGAAAATTGCATTTGTGGGAGCAAATGGAAAAGAGTTGGCTTCTGCTAACATTAGGTTAGTAATAATAACGGTTTGATTGCAAAATAACTGTCTTCTTATATATTTAGCACGTCATGTAATTTAATGTTTTGTTTTTTTTTTTTTTTTTTAATAGAAAGCACCTTCCAAATTGGAAAAAGATACAATTGGTTCTCAAAGCTAAGGCATCGGACTTTAATTCAAGTCTTCAGATAACAACAACCAAACAGGGAACATTATGGTTGGATCAAATCTCAGCTTTGCCTTTAGACACACACAAGGTTTGACATATTTGATTTTAAGCATATGTATAATAACACCTTTTTTCCTTTTTCTGTTACTCATTTTATTTCTTTTGGTATAGGGACATGGTTTTCGAAAGGATCTTTTTCAAATGGTTGCAGATTTGAAACCAAGATTTCTTAGATTTCCTGGTATGCATAAATATAAAATAAATTACATGATAAGGATTATTTAAAATAACTTATCATTTGGATATTATGACAACTATTTTTTTCCTATTAATTTCATGTATTAGGCGGTTGCTACGTAGAAGGAGATTGGTTGAGAAATGCATTTAGATGGAAAGACACCATTGGACCAAGAGAAAAAAGACCTGGTCACTTTAATGATGTATGGGGTTATTGGACTGATGATGGCTTTGGATATCTGGAATTTCTTCAAGTATGTTTCTTTTAAGTTCTTTCTAAATATGGTTCTTCTATTTTTTACACTACACGTGTATTCATATTATATCTTGTTATTTTTGAATAGCTTGCGGAGGATCTTAAGACACTTCCAGTATGGGTATTTAACAATGGTATCAGTCATCATGATCAAGTCAATACATCCAACATCGGTCCTTTTGTGCAAGTATAAATTTTAATTTTTCATATCTTTTTCAATAAAAGTCCATCTTTTATTGTTTATCCTAAATATGATTATTATTTTTCATATTTTAGGAAGCTTTAGATGGAATTGAGTTTGCAAGAGGTCCTGTCACATCAAAATGGGGCAAATTAAGAGCTAAATATGGACATCCCAAACCCTTTGATTTGCGATATGTTGCTATTGGAAATGAAGACTGTGGCAAGGATAACTATCTTGGAAATTATCTCAAGTTTTATAATGCTATAAAACATCATTATCCAGATATAAAAATGATCACAAATTGTGATGCCACTGAAAGTCCCTTGGATATGCCTGCTGATTTTTATGACTACCATAAATATACATCTTCCCATGATATCTTCTCATTGCATGACAAATTTGATTATCAAAATCGTACTGGTGCCAAAGCCTTTGTTAGTGAGTACGCAGTTTGGAAAGATGATGCTAGAAACGGCACTCTTTTATCTGCCCTTGGTGAAGCTGGATTTTTAATGGGTTTGGAAAAGAATAGGTTTGTTATTTTTTTAACTCTCATAATAATTTATTATTTATTGATTTGTATCTTCATATTCAAAATTTCTATTAATTGTTCTCACGTTTTAATGCAGTGATCTAGTCGAAATGGTTAGTTATGCACCACTTTTTGTGAATGCAAATGATAAGCGGTAATGTTTTTATTTTTTTTATTTTTAATCAAATATATTTATTATTCGTCTTTATGCCTTAAGATTAAAAATAATTGTGATTTTTATAAATTTGTAGGTGGACCCCTGATGCTATCGTGTTTGACTCTCATCGAAGCTATGGTATTCCTAGTTACTGGTTGCAACAGTTATTCACCACATCAAGCGGAGCTACGTATCTGGATTCAAAACTCGAAGCTCCATCTACACTAATTGCAACCGCGATTCGTTGGGAAAATCAAGAGACTAAGAAGAGTTATTTAAGGATTAAGGTAATGTATAGATAATCATCTCTCTTTAATTTAATCAAGTGATTAAATAATTAATTACACGTGCCACGTGCTTCACTCTTATCTGATTTATTTTGATAAATGATAGGTGGTGAACTTTCACGGTAACTCAACGAGGTTTAATATTACTATAAATGGCTTGGACGATGACGTGGATTTTAGTGGCGCAACAAAGACACTGCTCACATCTGGTAGTGTATGGGACGAGAATAGTTTTGATAAGCCCAGAAAGGTATACAATAGTTTAATTTCTTCGTCACCTCAACATTTTATTGGAGAATATTAATATAAATAAATGCATTTGAAAATTATTTTTATATATTTCTAATTATTTTCTTTCTTTCTTTCTTTTTTTTTTTGTGGTGTAGATTGTACCAGTGCAGAGTCCACTGGATGATCCCAGCACAGAAATGCTAGTTACACTTCCAGCAAATTCCGTCACAGCATTTGACTTGCCTCTGTCTTAGTCAATAGTTTTTCTTCATTATTTCAGAATTATTTCAGTTTTTTTTAATCTTTTTTTTGCCGGTCTGTTATTTTTATCTTTTAATGATAGGATTAGGATTTGATTCAAATTAGATTAGGGTTTGGTTTTTTATTTGAATTATTTTATTATTTTTAGGACTCTTAGTAAAGTTTTCCAGTTGTATTCAAACTTACTGAATAAAGCATTTATATTTTTCTAACCTTCCCTCATTTCTCTTCCTCTTCCCTTTTTCCCCCTTCCATTTCACGTCGCCAAATTATTACTTCTCATTTATTTTATAATAAACAATAACTGATTATTTATAATTTTTTCTTGTTCTTATATAGTCTATATGGAATAAAATAATAAAATTTTCCAGAGTAAAAAGTTAATTAGAAATAATTAAATTGGTGCTTATCTACTTCTTAGAAGTTAAAACATCACGCACCATCTAACAAGTTGAAACTCTAATTTCATGAACTGTACAGATTCGAAGGGCTTTTGTATTTGGAATTAAGCTAACATGTTAACATTTTTTTCCTTCAACGACGAAATGGTTACACTGAGATGAACATAATAATTTATAATTGGAAATATTGTTCTTAGTTCGAAAATTACATCCAATGAATATTTTGAACACCATCACCTCACCTTGAGTAGATATAAATCTTGTTATAAAAAAAGACATAAATCTAAAAAAGGTAAAATCACATCTTTAGTTCTTTTTTATATTTAATCTTATATAATGTTTATTCATTCTTAATATCATTAATAAAAAATGCGCCGGAGAAAAAAATTATAAAAATATCAATATTAAAATTTTATATATTGATAAAATATTATCGAATATTGACCAATTAAGTTTAATTTTTTAAAATAAAAATAATTGTCACAAAAATATTACCTGAAATTAAGGAAGGAGTTAGAATTAGAACAGTGAAAGTTGTTTTATAAAATTAAATGATCAAACTAAAATTTCATAGAAAAGATCAAAGGCGCTCTTAAGTAAAAAGTTAATATATTAGTTGTCATACTTTACCTTGTGCAATCCAGGGCTCCAATTTTATCTTCTAAATTAGAACTCAGTTTTTTTTTATGGCCGAAAAAATTAGAACTCAGTTTTTCGGCCAAAATTATACAATTATAATTTTTAAAGAATGATAATGATAATTTAATTAAGAAAAAAACTTCAGCGTAATGATTTAATTAATTATTAGAGTGTCAGATTTTTAGGCTTTTTTTTTTCTGATAAATTTTTTTTAAGGATTTTGAATGGGTTGTTTGGAGAAGGTGTGGTTTGACCGTTTGAATGATCAGTGATGTTAGAGGAAGCTATGGGTTGGGCCTGTGATTTGCTATCGCAATGAATTCACGGCCCGTCTGGAGGCGGGTTGTCAAGCCCATAACCACTTCGGGCTAACTAGCCCAGAACCCGCTCCGCGGGTTCTGGACTAGTTAGTTAAATCTTAAGGGCGTTCCTTGATCGTTGTGACGCCGTCGCTGTTAAGTCCTACTAAACCCCTAGGCGTTTCCTTTGTAGCTGTTTTCGTTCTCTCCTCCTCAGCTCCGCCACAACGTCTCCTGGCAGAGCTGCAGCACTACTTTCGGCTTTCGACAGCACTGCTGCACCATCTGATCAATCTCTCTTCCTCCTTTGGCTTCGTCTGACTTTCCTTCATCGCATTCGCACCGATTCGCAGCGCGCCACCTCCTCCGTCTGAATTTATCTTACTCAGTTCCTCCCCTGACGTATTCTTATTGACTCAGGCTTCCCTTCTAGGGCTGAGCCGAACTTATGGGGAAGGCAAAGGGTAAGCATCGTTTGGATAAGTACTACCACTTAGCCAAAGAACATGGCTACAGATCCAGGGCTTCATGGAAGCTTGTCCAGCTCAATTCTAAGTTTCGGTTTCTTGAATCTGCCCATGCCGTTCTCGACCTCTGTGCGGCGCCAGGTGGCTGGATGCAGGTGGCCGTCCAACGCGTTCCGGTTGATCATCTCGTCCTCGGTGTCGACTTGGCTCCGATTGCACCTATTAGAGGTGCAATCGCTATTCAGGAGGACATAACGAAGCCTGAGTGCAAGGCGAAGATTAAGAAGTTGATGAATGAACATGGCTGCTCGGCCTTTGATGTAATTCTGCACGATGGATCGCCCAATATTGGTGGAGCATGGGCTCAGGAAGCCATGAGTCAAAACGCTTTAGTAATTGATTCGGTCAAGTTGGCCACTCAGTTTTTGGCACCCAAGGGTACATTTGTCACCAAGGTATGTCACCGTGGTTGCTTCACACAATGACATTATTGGATAATATGCAATTCTAAGATGAGGAATTCATGTAGCCAGTTTAAGGGAAAAGATTTCTGAGCAAAAGAGTTGCTCCCTTGTGGACATTTTGGAATTAGGTAGTCTGTGCAATATGAACTTTCTAACGGTTTTCATCCATTCTGTTGCATTTCTGTTCAAACTTTCGGCTTGTTACTTTTTGGTTACACTTACAGGGCAAGACGGCATGTATATAAATTGCACATGTACATATTTTTTCCTGCTCCCTTATCTTCCTTTACTGAATTATGCCTGTCGGATTTACTTTATAACAGGGCTAAAGTTCTTACACAGAAAAATATATTTCAAAAGGCCATTTTCCTTTTACTAGTTTTCAATTGTTACTTCAAATTTAGCATCTACTTCTGATGATGTTCAAAGATGGAAAAATCTAATACCAGCTGTTAGATTAGTTTAGATTTAAAGTGCTATATTCCCCTTCCTAACTTAAGAAGGATTCCTTGGTATGTAGACTTAGGTTATGCAGATATCCTGTTCTTGGTTTTGTCAGATTGTCTCTAATTACTATTTTTCCCCCGCATTAGATTTTCAGGTCACAGGATTACAGTTCCATTCTGTATTGCATGAAACAGGTGATTTTTAATTTGTTTTATATGCTTTGGTCATATAGTGTTTACATGACTTGTTCAAAGTTGTCTGATGCTAGTAGTTTTTGGCACTTTAGTTATTTGAAAAGATTGAGGTGGATAAACCAGCAGCTAGTCGTTCTGAATCTGCAGAAATATATGTTCTTGGCCTTAAGTATAAGGCCCCTGCGAAGATTGACCCACGTCTTCTTGATGTGAAGCATTTGTTTCAGGGTTCTGTGGAGCCTCAGACAAAGGTAATTTGTTTGAGGTGTTGGAACTACTGCCTAATTAATGACTACATTTTTCTTATTACCTGTTTATTTCTCATTTCATTTTATTGATAATTAATGTAGGCGGTGGATGTTCTTAGAACAACAAAGCAAAAGAGACATCGTGGCGGGTAATTCCCATACCTCATAAGTAGACCTTTTAATGTTTAGGCCTTGAAATTGGGTAATCAGGTTGCTAACCTGATCAAGTTTGACCTTGCATGAAACTAACTAGTATGGTATTATGAGAAAAGGAGCAGTTCTTGATTTATGCCAATGAAATAGTTAGATTTATTCATTCATGTTAGGTATTTAATCCATTCATGCTGTCTATGGCTTAGGTTTTGATTGTTATCCTTTGTTTCCAGCTATGAAGATGGAGATACGACATTAAGGAAGGTGTCTTCAGCTGCAAATTTTATCTGGTCAGATTCCCCTTTAGAGATCCTTGGTACCGTCACTTCCATAACCTTCAATGATCCGGCTGATTTAATAATCAAGGATCATGACTCAACAACAGAAGAGGTATTTATTTTTTGTGCTCAAACATTCTATAACAATTTGAAAACCTATCAACGGATGTTTATATCAAATAAATTGAATGTATTTCTGTGGCAGGTGAAAGCTCTCTGTGATGATTTACGGGTTTTAGGGAAGCAAGACTTCAAGCATCTGCTAAAGTACTTATTTTACTTGTATCTTTTTCTTTTGTGTTTTTAGCATACTTGAGAAAAGCTCAATACTCATTTTGGTTCAACTTTTTTGGGGTTGTATTTTATATGATATGTAGGTGGCGGATTCACATAAGAAAAGCTTTGTCACGCACGGAAAAGAGTGATACTCCTATGAGGACTGAAGTGGAAGATGAGAATAAGAAGGATGATGATAATAAGGAGGATGAAGATGATAAAATACTTAATCAAATGGAGGAATTGACTTATGCAATGGACCGCAAGAGGAAACATGAAAAGAAGCGTCTGGCCAAAAGAAAAGCGAAGGTTTGTAGAGATTAGACTGATGACACGTAATGCTAAATAAATGTGTTCCTCTCATTGCATATTCATAAAATCATGATTAATAATCTGCTTTTGCTGTTTATAATGTGATTTTAAAAATATATACATAATCTCTGGTTTAACAATTAGTCTTGGAGCTTTCTTGGTTTGCATTTTCAATGTAAGAGTTATTTCAGGTTCTTTTTTAAGTTAACGTCGAGTTCTGCTTTTGGCCTGATCTTGTGATGAGTCTTCATGTGGACATGCTTTATGAATCTACCTAGGCAGAGGATTTTGTTCTTTCCTCTTTTTCTTTCTCTTTTCCTTTTTAAGCGTCACATTTTTTAAGTGGCCTTAACCAACGTTAAATATGTTCCTTCTTGGTCAGTGCTGAAAAGTAGAATGATGATTTATAACCAGTAGAAAAACCACACAGGACCCTAAATCCGTTCATCTCAATTCCCCTTCGCCCTTTTAATGGAAAAGAAAGAACCCATTTTATATGGCGTTGAAGATTGATATATTGCTTTGTTTGTAATTCATCTTCTGGTTTAGGCTTGAGCGGTAAGTCATTCGGGTGCATCAGACTGGCTGACACTCCCCAGTTCCTTCTATAACCTTTTACTTATGTTTAGTTTAACAAGTTTAGTTGTGTTTTCCTCGACAGCCTTGCTTTTGATGAGTGGACCGGTTTGAGCTAATTTGTTGATCAAATCAATTGTCTCTTTTAGGAGAAGGCACGCCAAGCAACTGGGATGCAAATCGATGCATTAGAAGATGGTTATATTGATCACGAGTTGTTTTCTCTTTCATCTATCAAGGTATGCTTTCACTATCCAAGCTTTTTGGTTTACAAAATGATATTAGATCTATTGACATACACCCATTAAATTTTCATTTTGAACCCTTCGGTTTTTCCTCTTTAGGGATGCAGAAACCTCGTGTTGTGGGTCTAAATAAATATTTGCCAAGAATTGACTTTGGCAACAGGGAGGATTTGGTTATACACACAACTCATTTGAAAACAATCACAGCCAACCCCTTTCTAGACTTAATACAAGTTTCGTTCTACCTATGAAGCATGGACGCCTTCTTACTTTAATATATATATATATATATTAATTGAATAGAATCTAAAAGCCTGGTTGTGTTAATTTACAAGATTTGATGTAGAAACTACCTAATAATCTAAAGCTACGTGTGTTCCTCATAGGGGGCTGCATATTCCTACGCATTGTATTGTTGTATGCTAGCAGTATCATGTCAAATATGTCGCACCCAAATGGTCTCCAAGCTCTTATATGTGCCTAAGCCCTGTTCTTGACATTCCAAGCGTATAATACTTTCATTTGCTGGATCAGACGTCATATTCCTATCACCAAAATCTTCTTCTTCTTCTTCTTCTTCTTGCCAACTATATCATGAAAATCTAATGCATTATCTGTGCTCTACATGTTAACATTACCTGGAGTTGGGCGTATTTGCACTTCATTGGATATTGCCTAATTTTCCTTTTTTCTTTTCTTAAAGTAAGCCTAATACTTTTTACTTGGGCACATGTTCTCCGAGGTCCTTACCCATTTTCCTGATGAAAAATGAGAAATAGGTTATTGCTTACCTTATGGGTTGGGTCATTTTTGCTGTTCATTATTGGAATTGTTTGTGAGTTTTATAACGTGGGCTTTATGATATTTACTTGAATGTTGAATTATTTTATTGGATGTGAGAAGCTTCTATGATTTGGCATTACATTATTTGCTTGGCTGTTATGATTGCACTCCAGGGGAAGAAGGATCTAGTAACATTATCTACTACAGAATATGATGGTGATGAAGATGAATTGAAGGATAGTGATAATGAAGAAACAAATGATGGTCAAGAGAATTCATCTAGTGACGTAGAAGATTCTGATGAAGAGCATAGAAGGTGATAGATGAGTCCCCTAGTGTTGCTGTTATTCTGTTATGTAATCACTTACGTTATTTCATTTAACTTGTCGTATCATAACTAATATATCTGGATACTCAGATATGATGAGAAAATGGAAGAGTTATTTGATCAAGCCTATGAACGTATCATGGCTAAAAAGGAAGGTACCGCAAAGCAACGGAAGCGTGTGAAGAAATCCTATGAAGTGGAGAATCAACTGTTGGAGGTATGTAACTCTTTTCTGTGATTATGGTTGATCTTGTACTTTGAATGTTCTTTGCGACTTGATTCTTTCTGGACGAAATTTTAGGGATATACTTGGACTTGGTATGGTTGTTCCACTACTCTGTTGTGTTTGCTTAATATTTATTTTGCTCTCCTATCATGTCATATGTCATATGTCATGTCGCGGTTGTGTAATTAGTTATTTTTTCTTGAGTGGTGTAGAGGAGATATAAAAATCTGACATGATAAGTAATAATTACTTTGTTTATTAAAAAAAAAAAGTAATAATTAATTTACCAACATAGAAGTTTTTTTCTTATCATAACTAATGACACAACATTGGTGAAAGTGTTGTCTAGTCATCAGATATCTAAAATGGGAAAAAAAATGAGCATGGACAATGTTAGTGAATAAACGAAACTGATTATTATGATATCCAATTATTTCATATATGGTGTGATCTAAATATGATTGATAATTCGAAGCATGATTACACATGAATCTGTCTTCGAGATCTGCATTGCTCAGCTGGATAGTCCTGGAAAAGTTACATAGCTGAAAAATTAGTTGAGTCTCGATAGTTTTTGTGAAGCGTATGTATTTATGTTGATGGGATGAAAAATTATCAATTCATGTAAACTAACGTTAAGATTTTTTGGCCGTGCAGGATGGTGAGGCTGATAATATTGTTCACTCCAAGTATGATTCCGATGAAGAGCAAGGAGATCAAGAAGCAAATCCTCTGATGGTTCCTCTTGATGAAGGTTTAGAGCCCACCCGAGAGGAGATAATGAAGAAATGGTTTAGTCAAGATGTCTTTGCCGAAGCTGTAGAGGAAGGAGACCTTGGAAACGAGGGTAGTGAAGATGACATGGATATAGCTGAGCATGAGGAAAAGCCTTCTGTTACAAAGGAGGCAATAAAAAGCAAGACAAAGTCTTCTGCTGGAATGAATAACCTTAAATCTCAAGCACCCAAGGTAGAGGATGATTTTGAAATAGTTCCCGCTCCTGCTACTGATTCAAGTGATGACTCATCGTCAGAGTCGGAAGATGTTGATAATTATTCTGTTGAGGAAAAAGCCGAGATATTAGCTTACGCAAAGAAGTGTCGGATGAAAAAGCAACGGGAACGGATGCTAGACGATGCTTACAACAAGTATATGAATGAGGATGAGGCGGGATTGCCCAAGTGGTTCGTGGAGGAGGAAAGGCGCCATCGCCAACTAATAAAGCCAGTGACCAAAGAGGAAATTGAGGCAATGAAAGCACAATTTAAGGAAATCAATGCTCGACCTGCCAAAAAGGTTGCAGAGGCCAAAGCACGAAAGAAGCGTGCTGCAATGAAGAAACTTGAGAAGGTACGAAAGAAGGCCAACGCTATATCAGAGCAAGCAGATATATCTGATCGTTCCAAGGGGAAGCAAATCGAACGGCTATATAAGAAAGCTGCGCCAAAGAAGCCTCAAAAGGAATATGTAGTTGCAAAGAAAGGGGTCCAAGTTAAGACAGGCAAGGGGAAGGTCCTTGTTGATCGGAGGATGAAGAAGGATCTTAGGAAGCGGGGAACGGGTAAACCTGGAAAAGGAAGTTCCAAGAAGGGCGTCAAAGCACCCAAGGGCAAAGCATTTTCAAAGGCTCCGAAACAGGGTAGAAAGTGAAATCAAGGGATATTGTTGGGCAAATTTTGACTTACAGATTGGACTGTTCTCTTCTCGTTGCATTTGACCTTCTTTCTATTTCTATTTTGGTTACTTATTATTCTTATTTTACCAGTAGATTATTATATTTGTTTTGTTACCATATTCTCAATTTCATTTTAATATTTAAAGAATAGTAAAAGCAGAAATTTTCTCAAAATATTATTATTTTGCCTGATTTGCTTTTTCCCCCCTCTAGCCCTTTTTAAGATTACATTTATTTTTATATTTCTAAATTCTATTAAAATGTAAGAAATAAAGTTGTATAAGAACTGGGGCAGGCAGTGGCAATGGGTCGAGAAAACGGTAGTCCGGTTGTATGTGAATTTCGTATTTTGTAATTATTGATTGGCCAAAAAAGTTAGAAAATTACTAAATTAAATTGTTTGGAACTACTTATTATAAGTATGTTCATAGAGATGATTGAAAAATTACTTGTCACAGAAAATTGACGAGTCATTGGAATGGTGGATATATGCCCAAGCAACTGTCAAAATGTTTCGAGGGGATTGGTAGATCCCTTCTTCCAGTTGGAAATGATATCCTCGAAATATCCGGCAAACAAGTATGAAGATGAAAGTAAAAATCAGTAGTTAAAAAAAAAGGATAAAAGTGACAGATATCTTCGCGCATGTTTTGTTCATAAAGCAAACTACTGGGGAAACGTGCATCTTTCAGCATCACCATTCACTACAGCTACATGATGAATTATTTGAACAGTAAATTCTTCCCCACGTACCCGAGAGCTCAATTTTTTCCCCCCCTCAGACAAACTGATTGAGGTATTCATCCACAGTGGTGTACTTCACATCAGGATAGAGAGCCGAAGCCTCCACTCCAAAAGATGGCTCAATTTCGAAGTTAGTGTGATCTCCCTTCACAAACACGGAGTGCCCAATTGACAGTATCACGTTGGCGGGAGGACGGGAATCTGTCAAATACAAGAAATGAGTCGCTACTGTCAAAACATGCACATCCTGACAAATGAGGAAGTTCCGTGCCCAGCATTCAAAGTTCAAACACAATCCAACTCTTGAAACAATCACATCTCAAACTACTGATGAGGCAGAATTTTTTTCCTTGGATTTTGAGGCAGAAAATATTTCACTTGAACAAATTTGAAGAAACAAAATTAGCACTAAATCATTACCTTGAATTTGCTTCAAGAGTTGCTCCTCTGGAACGTAGACCCTTTCCAAAGTTTTGCCAATCTTCTTCTCCCAGAGAGATACAAGGTCGTTGAACGAGTAGGTGTTGAGAGGGGGTCTGATGTAGAGAATTTTGTTCAAGGTTCTTGGGTCGTCCACAGCTTTGATTGTATAGGTGCCTATATCGTCTTCCTTGTTAAAAACAGCTGTTGAGATCAAAAGAAGGTTAATTGGAATCTGCTAATGACAGTAATTAATGTTTGTTTCTATAACTGATTGATGTAAAACTTAGCTTTTAGTTCTTACCTTTGGGGTTTCCATCCCCCAGGATGACAACTTTATCTCTTGGAGGTGCAGTGGCACCAGGCTGTGACAGATTGGGTAGGAAATAACCAGCGAAGAAGTTGCAAGACACATAAGTAAAAGGAATTCCCGCAGCCTCAGTGGCTCGGCGAATTTTGGCCTTACTAGCAAACGCAGTTTTCGCAGGTTCCACTGCATGAACTCGATCCACATCATTTCCAAACTCTGAAGGAAGGAATCTCTGTGCAACCAAACAATTGCATTTAAACAAGAAGCTCCAAACATTCATTCATATTTTTCCAACCACAACATTTCGATCAGTTTTATTACACGATGTATGAACCCTCTAATCTTCTAATGACTTACACTAACAAGAGAAACCTTCATGCAAAGAATTGTCACTCACTATATAGAATTTTTCTAATTCATCCAAAACGCGCGACTCACCATTTTACCAGGTACAGAGATTAAAGATGAAATTGCTGAGATAAAACACTAGTTGAACAGAGTATTTATATAAAAAGAACATACTGGAATATTGGAGTATAACAAAATTGAAAAGCTGTACCTTGATATTTCCTGCTTCTTTGATGGCAGAAATGATTTTATCTTGATCAGCTATCTGCATGTGACCTACAGTGGAGATCACCACATCAACTTCCTTTATCGCCTTAACCAAGCTCTGGTGATCATAGAGATCTCCCTGCGTATATAAGATGAACACCACATTCACCCTCCATCAGAAAGGCATTTCCTAATGTGTGAACGAGAAATAATCGAAACGAAAATAGTATTCAAATAATATTATCATGAAAATAAGCTTCGTATAACCAATCTCCCAACAAAGACGTTCGTACTAAATAAGCAGTGCAGAAGAATATAAGAGCCGCCAAAACAATCGCATATAATGTAGTATAGCAATTTCAAACAAAATAAATTAGAATTGACGATTAAACTCATCAAAAGCCGTTTGCAACAGAGTGAAACGGCAGCTGCAGTTCCAAAACCACAAGATAAGCACGAAAACGCACATACACTTCGTTCAACACCAACACGCTTCGTTCTCTCCCATGTTTCCCGTTTCAACTTTACCAAACGGAGAAAAGCCGTATTCACTGTTCTGTGAAATACATAGTAGAAAAACAGGAAAATAATCAAGAATGCTTGAGGATTTACGTACATGCACTAGGTTGACGCCCAAGGCCTTGAACTTGTCAAGGATCGGAGATTTTGCGGGGTTGGAGAGAGTGGACTCTCGGATGAGAACGAAGGTTGGGTGGCCGGCTTTGGCGCTGGCTTCGACGATGAACTTTCCTATATATCCGGTGCCTCCGATGAAGAGAATCTTGGAAGTCGTAGCCATCGGAAAGTTTCTCCGGTCTGAGATACAGAGCGAGAGGGGAAGGATGCTCTAACTGATAAAAGATGATTCGCGCCTTGTGGCGTGGTATGTCCAGCAAGTGATGGCAGCAGGCTTTATAAAGGCAAGGAGGAGAGCTTAGTTCATTTCTTTCGGGAGATAAAATTACACACTAAGCCACATATTTTCTTATAAATTAATATTTGCCATAATGCAAACAAGAATGTCATCAAGCGCGAACCTGAAGTGAAAATTAGACCAGATACATTGTTTACTGTAGAAACGGCATGAGGATGACATGATGTGCACGGGAGTCCTGAAAGAATTAAATGTTCAGCTGCAAGTTGGGAGTCCAAAATGTTTCTTAATTACGCCTTAAATTTCTTTGATTAAGATGTCGGTTTGAGTTTTTGATGTAGAAGATGGTGTGATCATTACGGAAGCATGATGCTTGCACATGTGTCTAGATGATAATAAAGTGTCCAGATTCGGCTTCTTGTTTGTGACCAAGCTTGTTTGCTACTCCTCCGGTCTTTATTATAAGACTCAATTTGACTTTTTATTTGGTCCTAATTATAAGACCAAATCCATTTTCTCTCTTATATTTATGTATTTTTTCCAAGATAATCCTTCTAATAATGATAGTTTTAGCCAATATACTTAATTAGCAAGAATATTTTAGGAATAACAACACTTATTTATTATAAATAACTAACTTAACTTACTTCCTTAATCTTCTCAAATAAATCAATTGGGTCTTATAATTAGAACCGGAGGAGTAATTCCACAAGCAGTCAGTCACGCGGTCCTCACCAGCGCAACTACCACTGGGACAATTTTTTCCCTGTTTTTTTTTTAAGATAAAAAAATTAAATTAATTCAAAATAAATAAGTGGTATTTTTCTTTTTTCAAAACCTTACCGAGATTATACAATCACAATTGAGCAGCGAGGCCGGCGTCTAGAAACCGAAGCAGTGGATGTGGGGGAAAAAAAAGGGGGGAAAGGTGGACGAATTTTCTAGAATGAAAGGGAGAGCACATTTCAGGCCAACGAAAGAAAGTGGGAATGTACGATGAGAGCCCATCACTGAAGTCGATCTCGCTGTCCAAGGAAACAATATCAGATTTCTTTTTTCAATAATACCACATGCAAAATCGTGGCCC